AATACTTAAGGGAAACAATCACATGTCTAACCCTGTTTCTCCAGGTCCCCTATATATCCAATAAATGCCTCAATGTTCCCCCTTCAGATTAAATCATCCATCTATCTCTTAAGCAGCCTATGCCAGAGGCAGCTAGTAGTGGACAGGATACAGTGTATTTTAAGGCAATGGCACCTTTGTTTCACATTCCCTGCAGAGTGAAAAGGAAGCCATGTAGGAATGTGACCAGCAGCCTACTCAGGCCTGTCTACTCCCAAACCAGAAAGGGGCTATTTCCACTCTGGAGGATTAGAGTTTGCTGTGAAAAGAAGGTAATGTTTAACTGGGACCATTTCTATTGAGCTTTATCCCCCGCAAGGCTTTCTTAATCAGTATCTTCGGGCTCTCACACATTCTGTGGAAAATAAGATTTCACACAAAGCTGTGATTTTTTTTTAAATTAGTAAGAGGTACCAAAGGTAATATGCCAAATTAATGTTACTTTTATATTTTAGAAAGTAATACAGATCTATGGTAAATTTACATGAGAGAAATGAAAATGTATGTTCACACAAAAACCTGCACATGAACATTTATAGCTGCTTTACTCATTATTGCCTCAAACTGGAAATAATTCAGATGTTCTTTAACTGGCAAATGGATAAACAAACTGTGATACATCCATATAACAGGATACTATCCATCCATAAAAAGGAATGAGCTCTGGATAAACACAACAACATGGATAACTCTCAAATGCATTACGCTAACTACGGAAGCCAGATCCCAGAAGCTGCACATTGTATTATTTCAATATATGACATTCTGGGAAAAGGAAAACCACAGGGTAGAAAAACACAGCAGTAGCCGGAGGATGGGATGAGGGGAGGGTTGACTGCAAAGAGACAGTGAGATGGAATATTGGGGAGTTATGGCACTATTCTTGATTGTGATGGTTACATGAATATGCACTTGTCAAAATGTATAGAATAGCAAACCAAAAAGTGAATTTTACTACATAAAATTTAAAAATAAATGCATAAAAGTAAAAGTAAAGTAACAGGCCCATGGTAAATTCAAATAAAACAAGGAATTCAGCAAAGTCTCCCTCTCAGATCTTTGTGGTGATAGTTCTGTATTTTGTTTGCAGTGATGGTTATATAAATCTACACATGTGATAAAATGACATAGAGCTATACACACATTATACCAATACCAATTTTCTGCTTTTGGTACTCTAGTTAGATATAACCATTGGGGGAAACTGGGCAAAGGGTATTGGAATCTCTTAATGCATTACCTTTGTAACGTCCTCTGTGTTTGTCTGTGTGTGTGTGTATTTTAAGTATCTCTCAACCAAGCTTCCAGACTCTAGTCCTGCTCCCTACTCCCCAAAGGCAAACATTATTACAAATCTTTCATACCTTCTGCATATTAAATCTAATACATATGTATATGTGTACATATAAGTTTATACATAAGTGCTTTTAACACAAACAGTAGCATATTATACACATTGTTCTGCACCTTGTCATTTTTCAACTCTTACCTTGAAGACTTTCCTGTATCACAGACACATGGGTCGGTATCATTCTTTTTTCCTGCTGCATAGTATTCCATCACACAGTGCCATCATGGTTTCTTTCAACAATTTCTTACTGATGGACATTCTAGTCTTAACAAAGAATTGAACTGAATTTAGAAAATCTTAAACATGAAAGATCAGCTGCAGCTGAGACCAAACACAAAGTTTTAAAAATTTAAGACTTGCCTCCAGAATATCTTTTGACCAGAAGGGGGAACGCTAGCGGCAGGAGAAGCAAAACGATGGG